AGAATTAGGAAGGGTTTGCAGTGGAAAGGTGACAATCTTCATGGCAGAACCTCAGAAATGAAAAAAAAGTAACCAGGAACAGAAAGATTAGTTGAGAGGCTAGTGGCAAACAACTGCTCCAACAGTCTCGCCACATTCTCTATCCCTATGCATGTACACACACACACACACACACACACACACACACACACACACGCTTGAGCACACACAGACACACTACAATGAAGGCAACTAGGCAACAATCTTAGGAAAATCTGACCTGCTAACATGGGTACTGGCATCCCAGAGCAAGTTCCCCTCACTTGCTGGCATTTGAAGGGACCCCAATCTAAAGGTAATAAGCAAAGTAAAGTGTGCCATGATTTGGAGTAAATTGTGGAATAACAAAAAATAAGAGAGAGAGAGAGACAGAAAGAGAGAGAGAATCCAAACGTTCTACTTGTAGAACATTTTTCTACAAGTAGAAAAAAGAAAAATATATATGATATTGGACCAAAGGGAGAAAAAGTAATAACAGCAAGCTATTACATCCTACTATAAACAATACTTACTGTTTACATAATAATGTAAACACTCTTATTAGCTTTTAGACTAATTCCGTTAAGTCTTCAAAATACAAAAAATTTAAATATAATTACAGAAAAAAATGGAACCATTCGACTCTATCAATGTAAGAAGACAAAACTAACAGAAGTTAAAAAAGACAGAAGGAAGAATAATCTACACTAACATTACAAATTTTGGTAATACTACCAAAATTTTGAGTATGTTATGGAAGTTGCAAAAAAATCCATACGAGAATTTAAAATAATATTAAAACTTTCAAACTTGGAAGGTGAGAGAAGTCAGAGGTTATTCCTATAATTTATAGAAAAATGACTAAAATCAATGATGACTGACCCCCAGGATATGCACTCTCTCAACATCTCTTTGGTATTTCAGCTAGTAGCTGTTAAAATAAGGTGGCAAAAACATACCTGTCAGTGTGCAACCGAATTTCTTAGAATATATAGTATCCTGTCAATTAGTTCATCAGTTAACAAATATAGTATTAATTAAGCATGTGTTCTATGCTTGGCAATATGCTGGGTGCCATAGATGACACATACAAAGAAATAAAGCATAAAGAATAAAGAATAAAGAAATAAAGCCCCGAAATTCAGTTCAACCATAAAAATTTAAAAAGCATTTATTATGTGTGGGGCACCTGGATAGGTCTTGGGCTTACCAACATGAAAAAAAAAAAGAGAGAGACAGAGACTTCTACCTTATGGATGAGAGAGAGGTGTCCACCTTCATAAATCATTTCAATAGAGCTTGGTAGGCACAAAAAGAGAGAGATCTATTTCTCTACAAGAGGAAACAGACCAACCAACACTCAACGATTTAAAAAGGATACAAGACCATTCACAATAAAACTCTAAAATACACAATGAATGACATATAAGATTAAGAAGCAAGATTAATTCTGCTAAGCGGTCAAAGAAGGCTTGATGCAAGAGGCCTTTAAAGCTGAGATCAAATTTTAATTAATGGTCAAATTTAAGTAAAAATGTAAAAGAAGAGTTCACAGCAAAAGCAAAGAGATAGAAGGATGGGGGGGGGTGAAAATGGCTCATACTGACACATATAAAGCAAAGGGTGTGTCTCCTGAAAAGGAAACTCATAATAATCTATTGACTAATTGTTATGGAAGGTACTTTTGATAGAGGAAAACATTTTTTGTTTTTTTTTAAATATTCAAGGACAACGAGATTGCACAGGAAACAAGTAGTAAGATGTAATTATCCCAAAAACGTCTTCCTAGCAGAGAAAAAAAAAAATGACAAAAGAGATCTGCCAGATTTTCAGGGAATTTTACTTCACAGGAGATTTGTCTTGATTACTATATATCTGACTCTAATAGTCCACACCGACCCAAATGGGTAAATGGCTAGTGAACTGGCTTCCTTTTGGTTCTTCATCAATATCAAAGAAAAACTTTCAATCAATTGAAATTCAGAAAATCTCACTCCACCTCTACCCTCATCAATATACGAATGTAATATATTTTTTATTCAAGTGTCTTATCTTTGAAATCAAAGGAACTTCTCCCTGACGGCTATCTCTTCTATCCACAATTAAGAAAAAGAGATGTTCTAGAGATAGCCCTTTCAAGAGTAACCACATAAAGAAACAAGATTTTGAAACACAAGCAGCACGTTAGCCAAGAGGTATTATATTAAGATGATGGCATTTTCCCTGTATCAATGACATATTTTTAAGAGACTTCTGACCATCGTATCAGAAACCAAAGATATAAAGAAAAACTGAGTTTATTTTTGTAACTAAAACACTAAGTAGAAACTGATTCACTGACTGCATTTATTTATATTTTTTTTCTTAAAATCAGTTGTTTATTTTCACTGACGTTGCCTTTACTGCCACCCAGTAAACAAAACCGCACTTGGATCCCACAACTGCTTTGCCATTTCCCTGACCCTAGCATTTCTGACCAGGAAACAAGGGCCCCAAAGCCCTGCCACTGCTTTCATGCGCTTAATGGAAAAAAACACGGAAGTCTACATCTCGAAATGCACTCACTGTTCCTGCTAGCCAGCAGAGAGAGTGAAAACACAGTCTTTCGTGTCTAGAGAAAGAACAAAGGCCACTAGAGAGGATTCCCACTAACGCAAACAAGACGTCAGGATGCCTTCCCAACTTGCGTCCTTAGCGTGAAAACTTCTTGCTGGCCCTTTTCGAAAGAAAGCCGTGGCCTCCATTTCTGGGTAACTCCCTCCGCTCTGTTCACCAAGGCGTTGGGCGGGACAACAGTTAAGGCCCAACAGCCTGCAAAGTGACTCCTCAGCGAAAGTGCTGTGTCCCGGACAACACAACACTGGGTGCAGCGTTCCATCCCTTTGGAACTGCAGCTGGCACCAGCATGCAGCAAAGTCCAGACGGGCGCAGAGTTGCCCCGAGGACAGGTGCAGAGAGGCAGGGCGACATTTGTCAGCAGGTTTGCCTCCAAGAAAGGCGGCTCCCCGCCCGCCCTGGGTCAGCCCTGCGCCAGCGCCCGCCCCCGCCCGCCCCGCATCCTGCTAGGGGACCGTGGCGACGGGACTGAGAAGACCCTGCGCTGAAAAATCCAAAGAAAAAGCCACTTGCCATAACGGAAGAGACGCACTCTCGCCGGTTAGCAGGACCCCGATCTAGCGGAACGCAGATGGGGCGGACAAGCAAGTTTTGGTTTCGGTTTTTCGTTCCCGCTCGCATGGAGACGATGCGAGAACAGAGCGGCCTGGTAGCCTCTGGGTGGGGCTCGAACCTAGACCGGCAACTGCCAGCGCCGGCTCGGATGCCGTCGGTATTTTCGCAACTTTTGAAACCACGTCAGAGAGGGGCCAGGAGGATTTCCCCGGGGAGAATTCCGGTATTCTCCGGGCTCGCATAGGTCCTGTGCTCAGTTTAGTCTGGATCGTTCCTCCTACGTCCCCTGCGGTATCTCCCCGGCCGTCTTCTCACCACGCCACCCCTGTACCCCACTTGTCACCTGCCCAACCCAGAACCAGTCGCAGGCCACGGCTAGGTACGCAGGGCACAGGATGAAAAGCGCACAGTCTTTGCCAACAGAGAGCTCACCAGCTTTACCACATCAGGCTCGGATCTAGGGGGACCTAGGGAATCTATATACATAGTTTCCAAGTCAAAGATGGCATGAAGAAGAACGGGAAATGGCTGGCAAATATGAAGAAGCCCAATTCCACTCTTAACTACGAATTGAAATCATGAGATCCCTTTTTTCCACGATTAGATTGGCAAAAAAATTAAAGTGTTAGCCAGAGAGCGAGGCAGCATCATTGTTGCTACAAGCATGATAGGTGCAGATATTTGTAAGGATTTTGGCCCCTTTCAAAATGTAAAATGCAAAAATAAAAAAGTGAAAATGCACATAAGGCTTAGATTAGCAATTCCACCTTCGTAACTGTGAAGCTAAATGCACAGGTAGAACTAAGACATTGCACATAAATTTTGAGTTGCTTGTAATACACATAATTTCTTTTCAAAACTAGGACCCACCCAGTTAACCCATGAATAGAGCTATTTATTATATGGCCAAAGGCACATCTAAAAGGACTAAGGCTATGAATATTGTAGAACAGAATGAGATCTGTATGTAATTCCCCAATTTATATTTTATCTTCAGATTCCTATACCTAAATGCACACTTGAATGTCTAACAAGCATGTGAAATTTAACAAGACCAAGCAGAACTGTCCTTCCTCCCCTCTTAGTAAATAGTTGCACTACCCACCTAGTAGTTCAAGCTCATGATTCACCTATCTTCCTTGATTTCTCTTTTCCTTAGCTCTATTAATATATCTCATAAACGTCACACTCTCTCCAACTCCACCTCTACCTCCCAGATCAAGTTTCTATCAAGCCTTGTTCCCCTTCAATTCATTCTAGATACCACACCCAGGATATTTTTTAAATGCAAATCAGGTTTGGTCCTGATTAAACACTGCATTGTTTTCCCATTGTTCTTTGAATAAAATTATATTGATCACCTGGAAAGCAAAATGGCCTTGATCTGTTTTCTTTGGCCAGACCCCCTAACAATGTCCTCATAGCCTCTGTTCCACCACCATCAACTAGCATCTCACATGAAGGCTTTTCCTGGCTGTAGTTTTTTGTGTAGGGCTGCAAAGCTCCTCCTGGATCCTCACCTAACTGACTCTTTCCTGTCATTGGAGTCTTGGTTCAAATGACCCCTCTTCAGACAGACTTTCTGATTACTCACTCTATATTCATTCCCTACAGTTAATTGTTATTATGTCATTCTGTTATTCCATCTTAATGGTGCTCACCCCTTTCTAAAAATATCTTCATTGGTTTATTTTTTCCTTGCTTGTTTTCTCCCCACATGGTAGACATTAGTACTGCTTACCAATATTCCTTATTCTTTTCTTCATTCAGACACATTGGAGGAATCTCTCTTCCTCACCCTTTGAGGTTAGGTATGGTCATATGATTCATTCAGCCAATGAAATGAAGAGAATTGACATATGTCATATATTTGGGGGGAAGCATTTCATCACCAGCTCAGGAGTCTCCAATGCTCTTTCTTTTTTGCCTTGGTGCTCTTATGTTGAGAAGAATGTGCATCAGTGAGCCAAAACAGAACACATGCATCAGGGAGTTACTTGGACCCATAATGAAATTTACGTGAATGAGAAATAAAACTTTGATGCTTTAAGCCAGCGGTCTGCAACCTTTTTGGCATTAGGGACCGATGCTCCTATGAGAATCTAATGCCTGATAATCTGAGGTGGAGCTGAGGCAGTGATGGGGAGCAGCTGCAAATACAGATGAAACTTCACAGTACACCTGCTGCTCACTGGGCACTAGTCCGGGGGTTTGAGGACTCCTCCTTTAAGCCACTGAAATTTTTCAGCAATGTTAATTAGCATACCCTGACTAATGTATCCCACTACGATGAAAGAACACCATGAAAATATTTGCAAATCACATACCTAGTAATGTATTTGTATCCAGAATATACAAAGAACTCTTACAACTCAAAATAAGACAATCCAATTTAAAAATAAAAAGAAGATTAGACTTTGGGTGGTGAACACACAATGCAACATACAGATGGTGTATTACAGAGTTGTACACCTGAAACCAATATAATTTTATTAACCAATGTCACCTCCAATAAATTTAATAAAATTTAAAATTTCTTTAAAAAAATGGAAAGTTGAATAGACGTTTCATCAAAGAGTATATATTAATGGCTAATATGCACATGACAATATGCTCAACATCATTACAAATAAATGTAAACTAAAACTACAACGAGATACCATTCCATGCTGACTAAAATGGCAATAATCAAAAAGAGAGATAATGACAAATGTGAAAAATATTGAGAAATGAAAACTCTCACACATAGTGGGAAAATAAAGTGTTACAGCCACTTTTTAAAACAATTTAGCAGTTTCTCGAAAAGTTAAAAATAAATTTACCATATGACCAAGAAATTCACTTTTAGATAACTAACTGCCCGAGCGAAATAAAAACATGTCCAAGACACGCAAATGTTCATAACATTATACATAATAGCCAAGAAGTGGAAATAACCCAAATGGCCATCAATTGCTTAAAGGATAAACCAAATGCCATATACATATATACACACACATATGTGTTTATATATAGTATCACACATATATAATATATATCACTATGTATAGTATTACATTGTATGTCTATATATACTATTCAGCAATAAAAAGGAATAAAACAGATAGTGATGCATGCTACAACAAGGATGAAGCTCAAAAACATCATGCTAGGTGAAAAACCAGACACAAAGGCCGCATATTATATAATTCGATTTAACCAGAAAAGACAAGCCTATGAAGAAAGAAGGTAGAAAAATTGTGGCTTGGGCTGGGAGTGAGAACAAAAATTAACTTTTATTAACATAATACAAGTGGGGACCCTCTCAATAATATGAGATTTCGTATTAGACTTGGGAGTGCAGGTCTACCCATCTGTGCCATCAAACCTGACATACAGCAATTGTTAACCTTGTATGCACCAGCCATTGCAACCTGTATGCCCTAACAGGGTTCAGGACATGCTACCCCAAAATATGACATCTTGGCATATTGAGTATTTCTGAAGGAATATGAGAAATGGCATGTGCAAGAAGAATTTTCTCACCTTCCCTTTCTCACCTTAAAAACAAGTCATAAAACCTTTCTGTAAAGAGATGCCTTCCCTTTGCCCAGGGGAAAGGGGTATCCTTATCTCCAAAGACCAAGGGACACAGAAAGCAATCTGTATGAAAAGGTCTTGCTAAATTTCTCCAGTTTACTATGCTTAGCTGATACTCTTTATCACTTTCTATTACTTTAAACTCTCCCCCGACCCTAGCATAAAAACCGTTGGGTTTAAACATTTCTTTGGGTCTTCATTTCTTTTTGAAGGTTCCTGTGCTGCAGAAAAATTATCTTAAATAAATTTGCATGCTTTTGTCCTGTTAATCCGTCTTTATCAGTTTAATTTCCAGATCTAGCTAAGGACTCTAAAGGAGTCAAAGGAAACTTCTTCCTCCCCTATAATGCCAAACTACTCTTGAAGCAAGACTTCAAATGTAGCCAAAATAATTCTAGCAGCTTATTACTGAAACCGAATCCAAAAAAATATTTTTATCTCATAGCCCTAGGTATAAGACCTCCTATCTCACTGTACTTGTTTCTGTATCATAGCTTAAGTAAAGTCAAATTGGTTGGCATTTTCCTGAATGTCTTAAATTTGTGATATCAAAAAACAACACAAATCCTATTATCTGTATCTTGATAATTATTTATTTTTATAAGATGTGGCATAAATTGTAAAGATTTCCAAAAATAGGATAAAAATAAAATTATTTTTCAAGGAGTAGTATCCATTGCTGAAAAGGAGCAATGAAATAGCCCTTTATTGGACTTTTAACAAAAGTATAGACCTATGCCTCCCTTTCTGGAAAGCAATTGCAGCCACAGGAATAAAGATCCTTAAAAGGATTTATATCCTTTATATCCTTTAATCTGTCAACCTAGTTCAGAACTGCAGAAAAAGATTTGTATACCAAGATAATCAAGTGTTTATATACATCATAGCACTTACAAATGTGAAAAAATTGGAAATAATTTAATGTCCAATTGTAAAGAAATAATAACATATGGTATATTCACAAGAGGAAATGTGATATGGTTAAAAAAAAAAAAAAGATTGTTAGGAAGGATATAAAATGTTTACCATTATCTCTAGGGGTAAATTTTTGTGAGTTTTATTATCTTCATTACACTTTGTATATTTTTCAAGAATGAGTATCTCTTCTTTTTGAATATCAACTGGATATCATTAATGCTATTCACAAAACAGTTTTGGCTTTCTGCCTCCCAAGCATATAACAGGATCGAACATCCAAGCTCCTTTATGGTTGGGTAGGACCACATCCTTAGTTCTGATTCAGTTATGATCGAAAGGGACATTTCTGGACCGAGAATTTAATTGCCAGTTTAAGACCCTTCAAAGCTCTTTTCCTCCAGCATGGCAATCCCGCAATCAAGTTGATGGCTGCTATTAGCCTGGGTCCCTAAGTGTCTACCATGAGTATTCCTTTTGCTGATCCATTATGGATATGTAGCATGAGCAAAGAGTAAAGTTTTGTTGTTTTAGATCTCTGAAATTTAGAAATAATTTGTCACATCAGCATCACATAGTCTATCTTGAATTGTACAGAAATTGGTATTCTGAAAGGGAGTATTGTTAAAAAGGGGGAAAAAAAGACAATCCACAACACAATCTAAGATACACGGCTTTGGCCTAGGGGTGAAGTGTCAGGTATTTAGAAAATAGTTATGTGATAAGAAGGATGATGCTCCATATAATGTAGTGGAAAATCATTTGGTAAAACTTACACATGATAGGCTGGAAGGTAGATAATGTATTTAATTAGCTTGTAGTTTTAATTTTTAAGAGTGTGAACAACAAAATTTGTACCATGTGTTTGTTATTATTGGGAGCATTTGACAAAGTAATATAAGAAATAAGCTTAGAATTTAAATGAGCCAGTTTGAAAGCAGTAATGAAAGGAAATGGAGAAAGTCCAGAAAAATACGGAAACTTGTGGGAATGGAAGTAACAACACTTCTCATTCTCAAATTATAAAACAGACCTTTGAGGAACGAAGGCTGATTGATTAGAACCTGCCTTATGGTGAAGATCAAGTCAAGTTTGAACCTCTGACCAGATTATGGTCTCTCAAAGCAAAAACACCAATTAAGCTTGTGGAATTCAATAAACCCTTTCAACTGCACAAACCAGCTCAGGGAAAAGAAACTGAAGTGGCCTGAGAGACTCAAAGTACCATAATTTAATGAAGAGAGGTAGAGAAGAATGGGGCCAAGAAAACAGAAAATTACAGCAACTCTAAAAAGTAAGTCCAGAAAAAAACTGTGGGTGTTGCTATTAGCCCATGTAAACTGACCAGAAGAATATGAGTAAGAAACTTGGTAAGTTTTTTAATTATACCAGCTAAATGGCCACCAGGTGGAGCGAAGAGATTGTGACTGTTCAAACTTTAAAAACTTTGGTCCCAAACATTGATCACTGGAAGTGTACTGAGTGAGGAAGCTTTTCAGCCTCCAAGGATATGTTTCAAATGTCCATTCCA